GACAGCACGATTCTGCATAACAAATATTGTGTTATGTTGGTGTCGTATCCCAAAAATGAACCAATTTACGTCTCTGAAAGTTGTTGATTTTTTTAAATCGCGTATACTGGAAGCGGAGCCGTTTCGCCAACTTGATTAATTATGTTTACCGAATTGCAATTATTTTAGTATATAGATATAAAATACAAGCGTATCCATATATTTGTGACTGTTTGTCGAACTTAAGGTAATTAAAATTATACACAATTTGAAAGATTGGATAAAGCCTTTTTCACATCGATGCCTTTTATAGTATTTAATGTATGTAGCAGTAGAGCTCCGTGTGGAAGAGTTCCTCCAGGGAAGTTCCTTACCTATTTCTACCGACAAGCAGTAATGTGAGAATTACTGCGTTTTAGTTTTGAAGAATAAGGATATTGGTGAAATTACAGGCACATAGGACTTGTTATGTTTCAGGGTGACGGACACAGTGGCAGCCCCTCAGCTCTTGATTTGACTTAAAGCTCAGTGTGGCACTGTAACAGATGGACAGGCGTGTCTCTTACCATCAGGTGCACGACTTGTTCATCTCGCCACGTGGCACCATATAAAATTTATAACAATTAAAAATTATAATCAGCTAACAACAGTAACTTATGATATTATCACTAGGTAAGTCGTTACGAACTGAAAATAAAAAATGGATCTACAATTTGAATTGAATTTCGAGAGACGATCAGGTTTATTGCCATTTCTCATCAGAGATTGCAGTTATCTTACGAAGCGTAGCGAGGTCATCACCTCGTACCGCTAACGTTGACCCTCTAACTCAAACATAAATTAAGAAGGCCGAGATCACGGCGCGCCACACCATAATGGCGAAGTTTTTTAAAAATATCGTCGCGAGTCTTCTCATGCTCGGTTGTTGAGCAACCCCAAATGAAATGACATTGTTTGTGTGATATTAAGTTAATTACTGTAAATATGTGCACATAACTAATTAATAAACTTTTCAAAAATTTCAAATTTACTCAGGGCCGATAGTATTGAAAATCTTTACTTGGACGGGTTTGGTTTACTACCAGATTTATAAAGAGAAATAAAAGTGTCACACTCTACAAGGTATTTGAGTTTCTTTTCATGCCTCATGCTCTTTGTTACATGTAACTAAATAATGAATTAATCAATACCCCCATGTAAGTTGTTCAATAGACGACCTCGGTGGCCCAACGGTTAGCACAGTGGACACTGGATGAGGAGGCGAGGGTCGATTCCCAGCTGGACCAATTTGGGAAATGAACTTTTCTAAATTGGTTCTGATTTAGGTGTTCTGGGAAGGGCCCAGAGTGAAATCCCGTTGCACTAGTTCTCATAGTACAGGAAATTCCCTAGTTTGAGATCACACAATTGGCGTGGTTGTTTGGCGCAATATTATTATTATATTTATGATTTTTTTTTTATATTTTAAACATGGCAGCAGGCAAAGAATGAATTTTTAAACATTTTTTTAACTATTTACATATTTTTATGATACCTAGTGACAGAACAAAGAAGTCGTGCGCCTGGTGGTAAGCAACACGTCTAGCCATAGCAGTTGCAGTGCCTATCAGACCTTTAAGTCGCAAAGATCTAAGGGGCACTACCATTGCGCCCGTCAACTGAGACATAAGTTGACAAATCTTATGTGTCTGTAATTTCACCAGCACCTTTGAAAATCGGAACGCAGTAATGCTCTCATTACTGTTTGGGGCATATATAGGTAAGGTGACAGTACTTCTCTGAGCGAAATATTTCACAAAGCGTTCTACTGCAAATTACAGCAACACCGAGAGAAGAGAGATGTTGCCACACGGCAATATTAAGTTTACTATAATTGATGTTACAATCATAGTGAATATTTCCAACATGAGGCTTCATTTACTTTATTACCGAATCATTAATAAATATTTCCATTATATCGTCGTAACAGGGTCCCCATTACTAAGCCTACTAACCCTTTGCTTTTTATCTTCGTTTTTATAATACTAAGTGACGGGACGAACAATTCGTGTGCGTGGTGGTAAGCGACACCCCTGTCCCTAACAGTTGCAGTGACAGCTCAGAGCTTTAAATCACAAAGATCTGAGGGGCACTGCCACTGCGCCCGACAACCTGACACATAAGTTGACAAGCCCAATGTGCCTGTAATTTCACCAGCACAAGGGTAAGGACTCTTCGAAACCGAAACGCAATAATATTCACATTACTGCTTGGCGGCAGACATAGGTAAGGTAGCAGTGCCTCTCTGGACGAATTCTTTGACAAGGAGCTCTACTGCTACTAAAGTACCTTAACCTGTACCGTTTTGCCAAGAATCCCGCTATCTAGTCAGGCATTATTTAGAGGTATCCCTTAGGTGACGATTAATATAAAGCTTGACGTGTTTATCCTGTTTCAAAGAAGCTACGTTCCTGACTGGACATAATAATTTGCGTAATCTCGTTTGTACAGTCAGTGGCAGAAGTTCCGCTCTTGTAGAATTATGGTACCTAAAAATAATATTAACAAATTTACAACACCTATGTAGGTACAGCACGTCTACAAATTCACATATACGTCGAAACAGCCAAGGTAATATTGTTTTTCTACTATTATTGAAATATCCTTTTTCTCATCGTAGTAACTTCCAATTTCTCTCTTGTGCGTCTTTTCTTAGGCTGAGACTTATAATAAAAGAACTTTGTTTTCGATTAAGCACAAATTTTATAGAGCAGTAGAGCTCCTTGTGAAAGAGTTCGTCCAGGGAAGCACTGCCACCTTACCTATTTCTGCCACCAAGCAGTAATATCAGCATTACTGCGTTCCGGTTTTAAAGGTTAGCCTTTAGAACCGGAAGTGCGCCTCAGATATTGCGATTTAAAGCTCTGAATAGTACTGCAACTGTTATGGACAGGTGTGTAGCTTACCATCAGGTGCACTAGGCGTCACCTGATATTATAAAAAGAGGCTAGCTAAACAAGTTTTTCGTATTTATAAAACGAAATCCGCCTAAATTTAAGAAAGAAATTAAACTTTGAGTTTACTTCGTAATTTCTTGCTCAAATTTAGGCAAGTTCGTTTTGTAAATCCAAAAAACTTGCTTAGCTTATTTTGCTTGGTCAAAGTCAAAGTCAATTTTATAAATGTCAGCCTTAGCCTTTTTCATTTATCTGAAGTATGCAGTGTTTCGCTGTCTCCTTTTTCACTGGTCTTCGAGAAAGAAAAGTGCACCCTCAAGGCAACGTCTAAATCATCCCAGAAGCATCCTCGAATAAACCACCGTATATCGATGTTAAAATATAAATATTTAAAGGTATTTTAATGCTAAACTTTTATTTCGTGTGCTCGACAATCACTCTATTTACTTGCTCGTCAACCAAAACAACCTTAAATATTACTAATCCTAACTTGGTTCAAACGAAAGTCGAACTAAGGACTTCCTATGTAGATGAAAGAGCGCTCAATGTGCTCATAAGGCTCAATTTACATTGCCGTTTTTTTTTTTCATTTACTTATAAGCATTAGTAAAGTACGGACAAGGGCACATCAGACTACACATTTTTGTTCGAAATTTGCCTCCATTGCAACGGAACAAGATACGTCAATATGTAGGTTGATGTGCTGGCGTGTGTATATGCGTCGCCTAGGCAGCTGCGGAAATTCCCGCGAATGCGCGAGCATTCCCGAGCATGCGCAAGAATTCGCCGAAAGACGCGCGACTAGTTTTTTGGCTCGTATGTATTTTGTAAGTTACAGGATTGATAGTGTTCATTTTGTTATGTACGGACAACGGCACATCAGACTATACATTTTTGTTCGAAAATCGCCTCCAGTGCAACGGAACAAGATACGTCAATGTGTAGCTTGATGTGCTGGCGTATACAATTTCGTCACAAAAATTCGCTTCCATTCCGTTCCGTCGAAATGTAAATTGAGCCTAAGGCACCGAGATCCAAGTGAAACTATGTTTTTCGGATCTAAAACGCTTATATTTAATTTTGTTTTCTCAAACTATAACAACGTTTCGGGCCCTAGTCCGCTGACTTTATTCAATTAAGTAGTATAGAAGTATTTATAGTACAAAGGGCTCAATATAGTAGACGCAACCTAAATATGCAGCTGACCATACTATTCGCCAGACTGCAATATGGGCTAGCGATCCATCATGCGGGTAAATTGCCTGTGATAGATTACCGCATGCTAATGTCGTGTGACCTGTGCGCGGGCTGCATGTTAATTGTGTTTGATTGATGGCCAGTGTTGCAACTCGGCTGCATAATGTGTCTGTAGGCCGTTATTCCCGAGTTAGACTAGACCATTTGTCGTAATAGCTACTTCAAGAGCTATATTTTAGATCGTTTATTTTCAGGATTTCTATTACTAGAAATATTAAATCTTTGTGTTATATATCCCTTCTTTTCCTATATCTCCTTGCACAAAACAATTGAATAGCCTCGACATATTTGCTGGGTATCTCGTCTATCAGATTACACGTTAAATTCTAAAACAGATGTTTAAAGTAAATGTAGGTTTCTTTCAGTAGATATATTTTCTACAATAAAACATTGAGCCAGGTATTGACGCCAAAGAGTACCATCTATCTACCTTTGTCCCGAATTCTGAGTCTCCCTCCTGGACACGAATTGCCATGGCCGATCTTGGAGTCATTAAATAGGCTGGGGGTTCAGATTGCCAGAGTACAGACAATTTTGTTCAGATGGGGATTTTCAGATGGTTCTAACCTGAATTGTTTGTGCGGTACGAGTACGATTCAAGCGATGGACACCTCACATCGTGCCCTGCGTGCTCTAACATCTGCACGCTTGAGATTTTAATGATGGTGACGCAGACGGTGTGACCGAGTTCTGGATGACAGTAGTATAGTTTATGCCATCTATATGATAAGAAAAATAAAACTAAATATACTGTGTTCGTACTCGGTATATCTTCTGCCGACATCGACGGTAGGTAATTCTGTTAACATTGTCCCTTCGCATTCGCAGTGGGTAGCTGTGAAGGCGTTCGATGCGGCGGCGACAAGCGTTGTGTGCTCGATGCTGAACTGGGCGCGCATTGTGTGCGGTGCGGTGCGTGCAGCGTGGCGGGTGCACCCGTCTGCGCCGTCGACGGCCGCACCTACGCCGGCATCTGCGCACTGCGCCGCGCCGCCTGCGAACGCGGAAAAGCCCTGCCGCTTGCCTACAGAGGACCTTGTATTGGTAACAGTAAATTATGCTTCATCAACAGCCTTTACTTTCTATGCCTCTATTTTGCCGTCTATTTGGTCCTTCGAACCGGACATATTCACTGTTTTGGCTAAAATTATTTACTCATCCTCTGAGCGACCTTTCCAAATGTGATTATTTTCTCGATCGCAGCGAACGCAACCTGCGCAACGGTAACCTGCAACGCGGGGCAGCGTTGCATGTCAGGCGGCGCTAGTGGCGCCCGCTGCGTGTCCTGCGGCTCGTGCGGCGGCGGGAGCGGCGGTTCTCGCCGCCCGCTTTGCGGCTCCGATGCGCGCACTTACCCCTCCTGGTGCAGACTGCAAAGAGCTGCGTGCCATGCCGGACGCGTTGTGGATCCTATGCATCCCGGACCTTGCACAGGTGAGCAAGGTGAAATTTTAATCGACACGAATCAAGTGAAATCAGAGAAAAATCAATGAGATGTTATTATAGTAACTAGTCGATTTACCTAAAATATAAAATCATGCACTGTGTGCATCAAGGTACAAAACCCGATACTGTTTTTGTTATCACAAACATATCTTCGGCAATTCAATTTATCGGTAAAGTTAATGGCTGCTCAATGGAATACTTAAAGTGTTCAATACATTTTTGTAGTTATACCGTTATATACGAAAGACGTGCGCAATCTGTAACATTTTATATTTCAGCACAACATTAATGGCTCCTACGGGTAAACTAATATATATCTGCAAATTATTATTTTCTGGTAAGTAAGCGGTACTCATATGTAAACCTCAGTCCCGAGTCCATATAATTAATTGTATAGTTGCTGGCGTATTTTATTTATTTATTTCAACTTTCTCGTTTGTTCACAGGGAGCAAAAATATTACGAACAATAGTGTGAATTTTGAGAGAGGTGATGACGACACGCGCGTTCTATAGTCATAGACTCTTCTAGATTTTGTGTTTCACGGGATTAAACATAATATTTCGTTATATATTGTGACGAAGAAAATAGCATAGCAACTGTACGTACTTTAAAAAAGTACTTTTGTGAAATTCCTAATACCCACTATTTAGAATTTACATTCGACAAATATTACTCTTCTATGAATTTCATTCTGTTAAATGTAAAGTACAATTTTGTTAGACGTAAAATACATTTAACAAAATGAAATTTACATAGAATTCATTAAATTGTACGTACAAGAGCATCCTTTAAAAAAAGTAATTATTTGGCACTAGTTATTCTGAAAAGTTTCTCGGAAGGGGTGCACGTAATATTCATTTGAAATTCGCTTCGAAGAAACGTGGTAAAGTACTCAACATTTTTGTGAAAAATGATGAGAAACACTGTTTCGTCTTCAGATTTGTACCATAAACAAAATCGGCGGTCATTTTGGCACCTCGGCCACATCCTCGATAAATCACTATTACATTTTTTATGTACCTATGTCGATTTGCAAAGACCTACCCTGGAATCGGGCACATTAGTCACAGTTTTTAAGCCAGTTTATCGTTTGATGATTTGGCCGGCTAAAGTTGTGGTAACGAGGGCACTTTACGATGCACCCGAATCTATAAAAAAAAATCATACTACAAACAGCGGTTTCGTCTATCCGAAGCCATTGTCATTATGGCAGGTTCCTTTTCAAAATTCGTATTCGTAGTTATATTTCTATAGTAGATTAGTTAAATTTACAGAACCTGTAGCACTTTTCATACTTTGTAGATAAATAATTCTATAGTCTTAATAACACATAACACATTACTAATTAAAATTTGAGCACCAAATTGTACTTAATATTTAGTCAAAATATTTTATCAATACGTAGTTAGCACAATGTTCGGGATTTATTAGGTGTTTCTTTATTGTAGCGAAATTTACTTTCCGTCTTGTTGTATGCCGATTCAAACAAAGCTTAGAGGTGAAGCAAATTTCATCGGACTGACATAAATATTCTTAATGAACTCTTAGAATTTTAAGATTAAGTTTACATCACGAAACGTGGTATTAACGCTTATGCAATATTTATTAATAAGTTATGAACTATGAAGTTTAGTGCAATAATTTTATTGAAAATTTTGTATGGAATTTATGTTTAATTCTTTGTTTTTTTTATTAATTGAGGTCAGATATAGAGATCTAAAAAAATCGGACGCGTTTAGAATAACTGTTAATACGCTTTCAGTATTATGTGTATGTAAGAGTTTTTTAATTATTATTTCCGACAAGCCTTTTGTTAAATTGCAAAAAAAATTGGTGATCTATTTATAGACTTTAGGGAAAAGTAATTGATTGTTACTTTTTTAAATTATTTCCAAATATTTTCCAAGAATAATTTTAGTGCGAGTGTAATGGAAGGAAGCGTTGTGTGATGCCACTGTACTTGTAGTGAGTTGACTCTCTTGACGTCCTGCTTAGCTTTAAATAGTTTAAACGTTCGATTTCTTAAGGTCCACATTCGTAAATATACATAATTCGTTACAAATTACTACGTTACCATTTTTGTATTCGTAGTTTTCACTTGTTTAAATTCAATGAAAAATACAAGAGAAACACATTTTTCAAGTATTATTTTGATTTTTTTGTGGCACGTTGCACCTCCTAATCAAGATAGTAAATCTACTATTTATTTGATTGATTTGAATGATTACTTAGAATAAATTGCTACTAAGCTGTAGGGCCGCCTGTGGCACTTTAGTTTATTCTAATATACTTACATTACTGTGTTGTGTTGTCATTGTAAATTTTATTTTGCAATAAACAACATTACCTTTATTCATTCATTCAATTTACACGTTAATTGGCTCTGTCCTTTCGCGGCTAACGCGATTTCCCTGAATATTTAAATGTTAGTTATTACTGTTTTAGTAACTTTTTAAATGCAAAGGCTTAAGATACTCTTTTTTCAATATTTCTTAAAATGCAGTTTAAGGTTTCTCTTATATTTTATCTTATTATATAATGTCTATCTTTTTGTGTAACTGTTAAGTTATCTTTTTATGTCACTAATTTCAGATACTATGCTAATAAGTTTTATGCTGGCTTTGTCACCAGGATTAATTACGGGATCTATGCTTTCATATGCGGTGAAATTAATATCGCCGCCGATGTACCATGATACGAATGCCATTATTTTAATATGGACTCGATACTTCAGCATGGTGAACAAATACAATGTACTAACAAATAGGTAAAGATACATTTAGAGCCAATTATTTTAATTATAGTCAGTTTGAAGTAAAATTAATATATATGTTAGTTTTTTTGGAGAAACTGAAGAAAATGTAATTATCCACACCCTGTTGATAACTCTTAAACAACCTGTAAAACTAACATTGGCCAATTCACTATAAAATTAAATGTCAATTTCATGATATTACTTCATTTCTTTTTAAATGCATATGATTATTACTCCAGCTAGGTGGTGCATGTACGCAAGTTTGACAATGCACCACGCATAGTAAAATTTCAAACATTAAACAATACATTATACAATAATAACTAATCTGCCTCTGTGCAATGCAATACAATGTCCAAATAAAGAAGTACGTCGCTTTCCTTCGAAATCCAAAGAAGCTATGTATCAATGCATTATACAGAAAAAATGGTACACCTAAACCTGATGAGTTTTATCGCGGAAGATAGAGAGAAAAATTAAGAGTTTCAAGGCTAGTTCCATGGAGGCCAATGTTTAAAACCTCAAATTATAACATCAATGACAATTGATGCAAGCACCAGCGATGGTAGCGCTATTTGAGATTAGCTTTACCTATGGTTGACCATTATAAATTCGCCTTTACAGGAAAGTAAAATATCAAATCGTATAGTATTTTTATTTGTATTTTAAATTGAACCATCTGAAGAAAAATGACGGCTCCAAAATTATCTACACATAATTTGTTAGCATCTTACATACCTTATGCCTATTTGTTTTTAATCCTCTTTGTAAATGTGTGTTTTTCTTTAATAAGTATATTAGCCCCTCTATTGTAACAGGTATTGAATGTGGACACGTCGTAAGTTACATTGTACGTTTTTAGGCTGCGTCAATTACTTCTTAGTGCTATTATTATCAAGTTGTTACTGTCTACTTAACTAAATTGTTGTACTTTGATTCATTGCAAACTTTAGATGATGTATAATATATTGTCCTCGTTTCTTCATAAATATTTTACACTGAATTATTATGTAGTTTTCTTTAATCACTTTAAATACTAAGCCACCCCAATTAATCCTTTGGCCAAGCTACTGAGACGCCTAGTCTAATATTGTTTTTCGTAAATACTGGGTTATTTGTAAAATCTAACAACCTTGCAGAGCTATAAATATGAATATGAATGAATCATAATTAGAGGTCCAAAATGTAAACAAAGAAATGTCATGAAATGTCATTCTCAAAGGGTGAATGCAGGTATGCTAAACTTTCTATTTTTAACGTAATTGTAAAAGGACGTATGTATTCATATTCTACAATTTTAATTATATATTACAAAATATTACCAGTAAACAAAACCTTTAACAACAACAACCAATAATCTAACGTACCTACTACGGAGACAAGAAAACATTCGAGTTCGAGAAAAGAAGCACAAATGACATCTATGACACGATAAAATGGCGGCACATAAAATGTTTTCATCGCCGATACCCGTGTCATAAAATTATTTACGACCTTAAACATAGTCTTTTATTATAATTATTATATTAAAAGAAAAATTAAGTAAAAATATACATTGCAAAATGTGACTTGTTCTAAGCTTTTTTCACAATAACCAGCTTGTTCTAAACTAGGAAACTACCATTTCAAATGTATTTTTTTACTCTGTTAACTACTTTGTTTACATTTTAGACATATAATTATTATTCGTACTACAACATCATAAACAGCTTTTGTTCAATGACTTTTTACAAAACATAATAAATATACCAAAAATTAAAGTTTTCGTTGCATGATGCATTTTGCATCGGACTGGTATTTACGCTTCTTTTATTACCGCACAGAGTTACCACCGTTTAGCGCTCTCTATTAAAATATTTTTATTTTTGGATGAAAGTAAAATCTGATGAATTATTGTCTTCAAACAAAAATTGTTGTTTAAGATGTTAGTAATATCCTGCGAGGTTGTTCGTATTTTACAAATAACCCTCTGTATACTCGTACGAATACTGTTTATTTTACCATTCTTCTTAAAGACTAGGTCTTTAGTACCAATATCGAGTATATATATCGAGTTCTTAGGTTTTCGCGTTTGTTACACATAGGAAATGAAACTCATTTTTCCGGATTTAAATAGCGTATATTTGTTTTTTTAAACAAACCGACGTTTCTGGCCTTTTACAGGTCCCTTGGTCACGGTTGACTCGATATCGAGTATATAATCAGAAATAGAGACGAAATAATGGCCATCCATTCCTGGCAATTCATCAGGCAAATGGGGCCTTATATCATTTTTAAATATATAAATGTCAACTCTCGTTTGCGCTGAAATCACAAATTAGAAAGCTGAAATAGTACAGCGCCAACAACTAACCTGTATGTACGTCTCCGTATATTCCAAAAAATATTCTGATAATGAATGATGAATGAAACTATTTTTCCGGATTTAAATCGCGTATATTTGTTTTTTCAAACAATCGGACGTTTCGGGCCCTTTACAGGTCCCATGGTCACGGTTGACTGTCAACCCAACAAGACGAAATCCGGAAAAATAGTTTCATTTCCTAAATATTCTGTATTTATTGTAATAAAGAAAAATTTCTCTAACAACTAAATTTCTGTCCCATTCGGTGGTGTGGGATAAATATCAAAACATCTAATTACAAAACAAACGGAATCACATTTTATCGGTAATTAAATATGTTATTTATTCATTTTCGTCCATTATAGCAAAGCTCAAGTTAAACTGGTCGTTTTGAATTGAAATAATTGACGACACCCGTCAATCGTTTCAAATTCGGGCTGGCCAGTCGGAGCACAGTTGTCACCGTAATCATTTGGCAAAATAGTTTTCAACCAAATAAAATGACATTTCGTCTCTATTTCTGATTATATAAACGATAAGTACCAAGGACAGAAGAGTACCGTATGCGAGTGGAGGAAGTAAAAAAATATGCCAGAACGTGGCATTAGATGTAATCTTTGCTTCTCCGATTGGAGTGTCATATTGTATGAGTACTTATTTATTATATTATATTAAGTGACGGGACGAGCAAGTCGTGCGCCTGATGATAAGCTACACGCCTGTCCATAACAGTCGCAGTGCCACCCAGAGCTTTAAATCGCAAAGATCTGAGGGGCAGTTGCCACTGCGCCCGTCACCCTGAGACATGAGTTGAAAAGTCCCATGTGCCTGTAATTTCACCAGCACCCCTACCTACCCTTCAAAACCAGAACACAGTAATGCTGACATTACTGCTTGGCGGCAGAAATAAATAAGGTTAGGCAGTACTGGATGAACTCTTTTACAAGGAGCTCTACTGCAAATATGTATACTATAATAAAACAATGTTCATATCATTTGAATCACTTATATTGAATTTATACTATTTGAAGGCGCGTAATTGACAAATTAAATATGAATTCTCCCATTGTGGCGCTATTAACATTTTTCGTCAATATTCGATACTCAATGAACCTTACCTTACCTCATGAAAATTTCCAAAACGGTGAAAGTTCATACTTAACTTGAAGTTTACATGTCGCAATGTAACATACAGTTCCAATATAACAAGAGCTGTTTAATAGGAATGTTTTACCATGGGATCAAATAATATTACATTCGGATCGCGAAAATTCGAATCATGGAATACTTTAAACTTATAATAAGCTTTTGGTTAGTATATACTTAAAACTTAATCATTGCTTTTAAGTTCTATAGCAGAGCACACTAATAAGCTTCAACAACATATTTGTATGAAAATAAGTAAAGTATACCACCATAATTAACATATTGGCTTAAGTTGTTCAGTTTCATGCACATTCACATAAAAAAGTGACTACAATACTTTTTTTTAAATCCAAGCTTCGGAGCTATAAGTTATTTGAATTTGGTGATTACATTACTAAGCTATTTCATTTTGTATTATTTTACTATTTAGATCACTTATTTCTCTTTCGCATTTAAAAGCTTACTTATAAAGGTTCATGTTTGTGTCGCTTACCCATGACTAAAAAGTTCATTATCACCAACCCACGTATACATTCCACCGCTGAGCACAACTCACCTCATAGGCGAGAGTTTAGGCCCTAGTCCGCCAACCCTGGCCCCATGTGGGTTGGGGACTCAATCCGAGTGTTGTGAACCTTCTTCGATGTGGAACTTTCATCAAGATGTTTTATCTCATAGTAAATTTCAAATATTCCGCACATAAATTCCGAGAAAGTCTGAAGTGCGAGCTTGAATTGGAACTCACGGCCTCTGCTTGAGAAGCGGTGGGTTAAACTATTAAAGAGTTAATAATAATTATATTCGCCTGTTTGTTTAAAACTAGAATGGCTCTGAAGCTTGGACTTCAAAATAGTAAAAGTAACTTTTATCTACACACATATCATAAACTCTCTATAATATGTTCAAAAACCGCAAATTACGACCAGCATAAACGTAAACGGTTTTGTTAGAACTTTCGTGAAAATGTTATTATTGCTTCATAATAACATCGAAATTATTACATTCAAATTTCGAACATCTCTGAAAAGCAACAATTTGATTGGACCTCAATTCTAATATCAGTCGAGATGAAGTTTCATTCGAAGCGAAATATCAATAGCAAACAATTTTGACAATTTCACACGTTACTTGATATCGAACGACATGATAGTTGGGGCCGATTCTAGTTTGTCTATGAATTAAAAATAAAAACTAGGGTTGTGTGATATGCGTGAGAAAAATTTTTATTTGCCGCCATTTCGCTAGTCGCAACATGCGGTTACTGAACATATGACAGAGAGCTTATAATATATGCGTAGATAAAGCAGTGTATGTAACTGTACATAATTAAGCGTTAAAACACTCGTGAAATGTTTTTATGAAATAACCTAAACCCACACTCGTATTTTAATGCCTTTCATTACGTAACAGTCACATGAACTACTATTAAATTCATAAAAAAAAAGAAAATACGAGTTCATATAGAGCATTTTTGCACTGCGTCCGATTCGTATCAGGGGGTCTACTTTCGATCTCCGTCTGACATCCGTCCGAAACAATTACTGTCAAATAAGTAATATTAAAATACAAGTATCAAGTATGAAGCTTCATTCGCATCACGCCTCTTTTCATTTGGTCAAGTATCGCTTATTTGGCAGTAATTGTTTCGGACGGATGTCGGACGGAGATCGAGAGTAGACCCCCAGTTCCGAATCCGAGAAATGACGGTCCGAAATGTCACAGGAATCATTTTATCTGTAGATATGCAAGCGATATTCGTATTTTGTCGGATATGAAACAGACTTACTGCACAAGCGACATCCAAAGTGGGTCCGAGTTCTCTAGATTTGTAAATTCTCGGATACGGAACGAATACGTACCGGGTGCAGCGCGCGAACGCGCTTAAACTAGATTTGAGATACAATCCACTTTTCTAATATCTACGCTCGATCGAGTTCAGTCAACTAAACCGGTACGTGATTATCTCGAGTTTTAATCACTTTCAATTATAGAAGCATAAACCCTCAAGAGTTACAATTAATACCGGTAAAATAAATCTAATAAAATTCGTGACTTATACTTAATTTCTTATTAATTATCCATGTAAACTTATCATGAAGATGAACGACCTCTTTAGTTGACTGTTACGGTTGGCTATAATGTAAGATCACGGCCATGCACGACGTCCAACAATTAGCGCCCTACTCTGTGTTCGTGTATATAGGTCAATTAACAATAGTTGATGTGAACGACACACGTGTAATTTGGCGTGTATGTATAATATGGCCCTGAGAACCGCAACCAGGTTTGGCTTGCAAGCAAAGCCCGATATTCATTGTTCTTGATCACATTGAATTATGTACAGGCTTAGCATGGTCGTTTTCTTAATAGTTGTTATCGCCATGCTCTACAAACGGCCTTCGCTACCTTTAAACTGCATAATTCCCGTGAGAAAGCTCGTGGATATTTAACGCGTGGTGCCATCTATTGGCCCAATATTAAAGTAATATTGATTTTTATTGAATAATTCGAGATATTTAATCACCGTGATATTAACAACATTTGGTGAAAAAGGTTGAACACAAAGACTTTCATTCGATCTATTCGAAAAAAATGTTTGGCGTGGTCACAGGTTCAAGTCCTGTCATGTCAAAGGAATTTTGCTTATATTAATAATTATAATTAATTTATGTAGTTGAAACATGTCACTTAACCATCAATTAACATTCATGCACATAGATATTACATTACATCAACTTTTGATTTTACATACTTGACACACAATAATTTCACGCAAGAATTAATCCACCTAAAATCGCACCATAAAGTGCTTACTCCTTGGAGTTCCATTTACAATACATATTCCAATGGTGAGTTTGTATGAACACTATATTTACCAGTTCAATACATAATATGAAAATGACATCCATTGAATAAGGTTTTGAATTAACCCGAAACCTGGTTTCTACGATTAAAACACTTTTGTTCGACGACTTTTATAATTTCCCACAACGCTTTTTTTTCCTTCCCATACAAATCGATAAAGAGCTGATGTGATAACCATGGAGTGTGTGCGTTATTACAAAAATGTGGATTAAATGACAACACGGTCGAAAGTCAAAATAGAATCAGTTTTTGAAGTGGCAACACCGAGCCGGAAAGACTGATTATATTGTGTGTGTTACAAATTTGCGCTTTGAAAAAAGAACATTTTTTTCCAAATGTTACATATGTTAATAGCACCCAACATAACATAATACCGCATTCTTTCACCTTGCGTGTTTAATCTGCAGACGACAAGTGAATTCAAAAAGTGTGTTATAGAATAAAAGTCGTTAGTTTAAGGGGTTTCGACTCAATTCGAAATAACTCATTTTCTTCTCGGCACAAGGTACTATTGAACCCAAAAGTGGTAGGGCCCGTATTAACTTTCGACCTCGATATCCCTATTGTTTATAATTCCGCCTAACGGCGAGGGTTTAAACCGAACTTCTATTTATTTAATGACCTAACAATCCTGCTGTTGCATAGTAGTCCTAGTAAAAAGTTCCATAGTAAGCGCGGACAAAAATACCGGTATAGACCGATGATGGTGTAAATGCAGCTCTACCAACTCGCCAAGCGTGGAAGAGTATTCTGTATGAACCATTTCTATACCATCGTCAGACAGCTGGAAGGTTAGGTATTCTTCGGACGACTCTGCGTACATGTTTGATATTCTGTAATTAAGAATAATTTATTTTATAATAATTATTTATTTCCACTTTGTTAGTAACAATTGAAAACTTTGGATTATGTTAGTAAATTACACTTAAAAAAAATTGAAACACTTCAAAATAAATAATAGAAATTAACAATCGGTTTGCGGAATTAGAATTGATGTCACCCTCCCTTCTTGGTAACATGAATTCTGGTCCAATGGCACAATATCGAATACGCTACATCCTTCGATATGGTGTTCAGATGGCTGTTACCGCTGCCACGCATCATGCTCATGACTCGACGAAATGCGTTTCCGTATAACTGCGTCGTCAAAACCGTCGTTACGCGCCTCCGCAAACATGCTGGACGCTCTACAGAACGGGGGCAACCGCAACAGCATTCTAAAGGTGTTATTGTAGTGGACCTTCAGGGCATTGAAGGATTTCTGCGTCTAATTAACCCACAGGCCGTAGATGTTCCTGACCTCGTTCGTACACCGTGCAAACCTGCGAGCCAAGATATTGCACCTTACCGTCAATGCCCTGCGCTCCCTATCCAGCTCCAAGTTATTTGTGAGCGCATCAGTTACCCACTGACCCAGGTATTTAAATTGCTATACTTCCCTGAGAGGAGCACCATCTAGTATAACAGGTGGAACAGTGTTATACGTTTTCGTGTCCGCCTTGAAAACTAGCAGCTCACTTTTCATATTGCTCACAGATTTTCAACAATCTCCTCAAAGCACCGACTGAGGGGCTCAACAGCACCATATCATCAGCATAACTAATATTGTTGATGATACGGCCACCAATCGAGCACCCCACCCTAGCACCGCTGAGCTCCTCAATTAGTCTGTTTATGTACAGGTTGAACAATTTGGGAAACGCCAATTACCCCTGCCTCACCCCGCTGTGCAACCTGCATACATTCGAAAAACTGTTTCCCTATCGCACGACATTCGACTGGCTTCCATACCAGTACTTTAACAGCAACAGGCGTTCTGTTGGTAGAGTAGTTTTTGCAGGCTGATTTTAATTAAAATCGCAATCTATCCGATCGGGTAGCCCATCCGAGTCTCGAAATCAAATGGGTTTCCGAAATCGAGAAGATGAACCTGATTTGAAAAGTCAAAAGTTTCCGACCCGCCGCTTGTGAATCGCAATTACGCGCCTCGACTCGGGAGAGACGCAGTTTCCGATCGGGAGAGGCAATCTGAAAGGGTGCTGATGCTGTTGGTGGATTGGCACCGCTTAAGCAAATCGTGTCGATTATAATGTAGCCTCTTGGGATGTTCTGTCAACCGCAAATCTCGCTTAGTGAGTTTAACGTTCAGAATTCAAAAGAGGTAAAGAAATAGTGGTAATAAATCCATTTTTATAAATATTATTCCCGTTACATTAATGTTTGTGATCTTTAAAATGTATATCGCACATGAGATTTTTAGTAACTGGTAAACGGC